AGGATCTCCTTGAAAAAGCTTAATTGGCGACTCGTTTTTCCTTTTCGAGATTTCGTTTCTTTTAAAACTTCATCACGACTAACGCGAAGTTACACTCCTAATTAAAAACTTTTAATGTTTTGGCCAGGCTAATATTTAAATATCATTATCTTCCTAATTCTCCCTTTTTCGCGGGGCGCTTTCCACTTCTCGGAACGGCTGGGAGGGAGACGAAGTAGCTAACTACTAGTCGCATCTCTTTTCTTATCATTTTCGTCGTTGTAGGGAGTTACATAACTTCGTTGGGGTCCAAAACTAACGGTCCTAGTCTGAACCAGGCGCAAATCATGGCGACGGGGTCTTAATTAAAAGGTACCCCGTCAAAGTACGAGCTGAAACTTGGATTAGTGTCGCAGTCGGAGTTTGAAACTGAGAACTGAGATGTGGGTTTGCCAGTCTATTCTTATCTTTCTGTTTCTTACTCAATAACTCTTAAAATCCTGAAGAAAAATATCTTACACTAAGAAGACAAACTTGCCTACATTTAGTTTGTAATTTATACTTTTGAATGTCGACTCTTGAGTTTAATTAGAAAACAGATGAAAAAATTATACTTTTTTGTTTTATTCTATCGATTTTACTAGAACCTCAAGTTCGGCCCTGATTCTTACCCCATTTTTTCTTTAATCTTTATTCCCAATGTTCATTATAGCAGTGAAACCCTTGTTAAAGTAATTATAACGAACGTAAGCCATCATCTACGCAATTAAGCAATAAATTTTTCAATTAGAATTTTTAAATTTGGTTTTTTCTCATTTTGGGTATTATAAGGAGTGTAATATCCAGGGCCGTAACCAGTGAATGTGAGTAGATAAAAAGTTGTAACGGTTTAGGTATTCCCACTTTTATGTAATATCTACTGCAAACAAAATATTGAGAAATATACCTACATTGATTTTTTCGAGCCTTCCCTGCTGTCTGAGTACTGCCCTGGTAATATCAAACGAATCATATCCATAGTTTTTTTTTTACTTAAACAATATTCAGAACAACAAAATCAACTGCAAATATAGAAACTGAATCAGTTCTTAAATGTGCTGACTACACCTCGTATAATAGCTTTTTCCTTTTTGATTAGCCCTCGTACATTCATTCAAACATAATAACTAATAAGACAAACAATGATATCAGATGTAAATTAATTCAGCATTCCAATGTAAGAGGCAGCATCTCCTAGGTGAATTTTTGAAGAGTGGGGCAAGCAAGAAAACAAAGGATTATAAATCAGTAAAAAACGAGATATTTAATCAAAAGAACCTAATTAAAAGCGGTTTAACGGAAAAAGAACTGAAAAACGAATAAAATCCTTCTTTCGTACTTCATTAAAGCGAGACTATACAGACTTAATTAGTCAAATACAAATAATTAGATAGGTTAGGCATTTTCACGCAAGAGGCAGCACCTCCCAGGTAGTTTTCCGAACGTGAAAAAACAATGCATAACAAAATGGATGTCGTAGATTATACAACATATTATACACATTATACCTAATAGGCCTCTTATTTAATTTAGGTATTTATGAGAATTACAAAAGCAAAATTATTTAAATAACAATTCATACTACCGATAAGTAAATAAAAAACAATTGGTAGTTTGTTTATTGTTACTTTATTTTTAATATGTGCTAGGCATTCTATCTCCTTGGATTAATTTTATAATGACTAGATTGTCGCAACTATAAAAATGATAGTAAACAAAGGAATGTCTTCAACTAATTATCACAAAATAATTTCGAATCAACAAGATTATGATAAGATAGACTTTCAACAAATGCAACCTGATGGTTTTAATTTTATTTCGAAATTGACTTAAATTTAACTGATTTTTTTTGCGTTATACTTACCCCTAGAGATATGAAAGCAGTTAATAACTTATGTATTTATATCACTTAATCTGTTATTGTTACCTATATAGTAAAAAGTCATTGTCTTGATAGAAAGGCTTTATTGAGAAAATAAAGCTATTCTATAAACGACTGCGAACAAAAACAGAATAAAAGCGAAAACATTATCGTTTTATCGCCACATTCAATTATTTCTCGATCGGCTGGTAAAAGAAAAAGTTGCCTTTCTTATGACACACTTATCTCACACATCATTAGTCGCAAGTTTGGGGGCTCAAGCGGCCGATCCTCTCGCGATCAGCCCAAGACGATTGATGGTTGATTACCGCATTCGCTTTTGAAAAAGGGATTATCATCGAAAAGACGACGTGTTGAACGACAGCAACGAGACGCGTCGCGACGACGGTTCTGCGCCCCTGTCGACGCTCACACCAATTCTCCGCATAATCAGATCTGAATAGGTAAATGCATCACTGACATCAATCTATATCGTATACAGAAAAATCCACCACTATTCAAACTCTATTATCATCTAAAAATATTAGATATTATATAAAGAAATGGAGGAGGCGCCTATTAATTCCAATCAACGAACGAAAACTAAAGTGAGGAACATAAAATATGGTTTCTACTGATAATAGAAAGTTTTTAACAAAAAAATTAAACCGTCGAAAAACTGAAAAGCAAAAAATAATAAACCTTTCTTTAACTTTAATAACCATCAAGTTCTTCAACTAATGTACAAGTGAGTATGCCTAATAAGTAATTTTGAGTCGACGCCAAACAAACAAATTTAAAGAAATAACCATTGCATTGTTAATTTGATTTGGTTATTTCTTTAAATTTAAGGTAATTTAGTGATCTTTGTTTATTGATTGTTTGGCGCCGACTCAAAATTACTTAGGTATACTTACATTAGTTGAAGAACTTAGTTATTAAGCTTAATAAATTATAGGTTTATTATTTTTTGCTTTTCATTTTTTGCAGCGGTTTAATTCTTTTGTTAAAATATTTTTTATTTTATAATTTTCTGTGCCTATAATCTACTATAATTACTACTACTACTACTACTACTACTGTTATTTTCCTACTATAAATCATCCCCTGTATTCCTACCCTTAGGGTTGGAATTTTTTTTCCAAATTTAAATGGAACTAACTTCGGGGTATACTCTTTCCAATAAAAAAATAATTATCAAAATCGGACTATTCTGTCAAAAGTTATGCGTGGTCATACATTACAATCAGCGAGTGAACAACAATCAACAATCATTCCCTATTTTACTACCCTTAGGGTTGGAATTTTTTTTCCAAATTTATATGGGGCCAACTCCGGGGTATACTCTTTCCAATAAAAAAATAATTATCAAAATCGGACTATTCTGTGAAAAGTTATGCGTGGTCAGACATTACAATCAGCGAGTGAACAACAATCAACAATCTTTCCCTGTTTTCCTACCCTTAGGGTTGGAATTTTTTTTCCAAATTTATATGGGGCCAACTTCGGGGTATACTCTTTCCAATAACAAAATAATTATCGAAATCGGACTATTCTGTGAAAAGTTATGCATGGTCAGACATTACAATCAGCGAGTGAACAACAATCAACAATCATTCCCTGTTTTCGTATCCTTAGGGTTGGAATTTTTTTTCCAAATTTATATGGGACCAACTTCGGGGTATACTCTTTCCAATAAAAAAATAATTATCGAAATCGGACTACTCTGTAAAATGTTATGCGTGGTCATACACAAAAGAAAAATATACTCGTCGACTTGAGAACTTCCTCCTTTTTTTAAAAATGGTAATGTACAGTTAATTTCGGTTCTATACTTGTTTGTTATGTATTTTCCCCGCACAAAATTTTCATAAAAGTGATAAATTGACTTGCTGCGCTAATAAGGACACAAAGTTCGATTTCGAGCCATTTTTTTTTCTGTAGAACCATGGGAATCGAGCGGATGCATTAATGTGTCCCTTTGAGTATTCGGTACGCGAAATTATTTCCGGAAATTGTGGAAATATTGACCAAAATCAATTTCTGATGTTTCCGCGAGCGAAAGGCGAATGCGATGATAAACAGTTGATAAAACGACCAATCACTTCAAACTTGGTAATCGATTTTAAATGTACATAAGCGAAAAGTAGGACTTTTGATCAGACTAAATAAGAATCAATGTCAATGTAATTACAAAACATAAAGTAAATAACTATTGACAAAAGCACCCAATACATTATGTAGTTTCATATTACATTCAAGAAGACACTACAGTTTCATATGAAAACCGTTATTAACGAAGATTTAATATCTTTAAAATGATTTGAAACATTTTTGTATAAATAATACAAATTTCAAGTGCATTTTGTACATACATGAATGTAATTACCTTAATAGAGTTGGAGTAGGTTAGTCAAATTTATTTTTTATTGTTATTTTACATTATTTTATTGAAATTATTAATCTTAAAGGTAGTTTGTATAGCTATTTGCTAAATAAAGTTATTATTATTATTATTAATTTTATGAAACCTGCGTTAAAATTAACTTTTCCCTAGTTAAAGTATTCGAACTTGTATATTTACATGGAAAACTACTAATCTACTAAATCTTATTAACATATTGTCTGTTACTAATATTAGTTATAAAAGAGCACAGGGCAAAGCAGTATTTCGTAAATGAAAGTTAGTACCAGCAATTTATGCTGAAGTGTACGATGTGTTGCATACCTATTTACAAACAATTTCTTTAAATTTTAATAATTGATTACTATACATCTATTAAAAAACCATAATGGCCGACATCAGTGACAATGCGTCAACAATTGAAAAAGAATGATGGCCGACAACAGCAACAATTAGAAAAGAATGATGGCCGACAACAGCAACAATTAGAAAAAATGATGGCCGACAACAGCAACAATTAGAAAAAATGATGGCCGACAACAGCAACAATTAGAAAAGAATAATGGCCGACACTACGTCATAGTATTGTTCGAGCTCACAGTGATTGATAGGGGGAAAAAACTAGTAGTAAGTAAAAATCTCTTCTAATATGTGAGCATGTTAAATTCGTAATCGTCTAATTTCAGGATAAGGAACGCGTCTCAAAAACAGTAAAAAGAATTCTATGAAAGAAACTGATAGAGAACAATTTGGCGCGAAGTGTTTTAGTTTTAGGTTATTTTTTACCATCTACGTTGTTTTTAAGTTAATTTTAACGCATATAATCTTTTTTATGTAAGATATTCAGAAGTTACACATTTAAAATTGAATTGCTTCTTTAAAAAATGTTCTCGAAAGAGATTTTCCAAAATAGTGATACTGACGAAACCTTCAATGAATACAATGGAAAAGAGAGTGATTTTGAAAAGGAATACAGTGAAACAAATGAAAAAAGTGATCTGGAAAGGGAGCGGGAACGAAATATCAGGAAAATGCATCAATTTGTACGTATAATTGGATTTCAAGACGATAAGTATTTGTGTGGTTAGGTCTTTGCAGATGATCCTGAGGGACTGGAAAGAGCTTTAGCAAGTATACAGGACTATTCAAAATCTATTAATGGCACTGCAAAGTCATTATCAGCCCCCAAAAAGAGAAGGTCTCATAAAGACAGAACAGTAACTTTTAACTACGAAATTCCTCTGCAGCGAAGAAAATCATTAAGAATAGCAAAAATTGAGCCCATACATTATAATAAGGTAATATTCATGAAACGTCTAATTATTATTCCCAAGTTACACATATCTTATAATTGCAGCTGGATTTTGAAAATGAACCTTATGATGATGAAATAGAAAACTTGGAGAAAGTGATTTTCAGACCGAGGATTAGAATTAACACCTCCAGTAGACCATCAGTGGTAAATTACATTCCTGTAGAAGATGTAACACCTGAATACTTGGCCAAAATAGCCAAATCGAGCACTAAAAAAGTGTACAGTCAGAATGGAACATCTTGTCACCAGTGTCGCCAGAAAACATTAGACAGTAAGACTGTTTGTCGTAGTGGAAGATGCTTTGGTGTCAGAGGCCAGTTTTGTGGTCCATGTTTAAAGAATCGTTATGGGGAAGATGCAGCAACAGTTCTTTTGGACCCAAATTGGCAGTGCCCTGGTTGTAGAGACCGCTGCAATTGTTCATTTTGTCGAAAACGAAAAGGTAAAAGACCAACTGGAATTTTGGCCCCAATTGCTCAAAGACAAGGATACAGAAGTGTTGATGAATTTCTACAAAGCCTTAATGGTATTGGAGACAATTTTGAAAACAGTCATGATGAAGAAACGCCAGATGACTTGTTAGGATTTGATGATTTTGGTAAACCTGTAGTAAGGGAGCTGCAATCAGTTAAATGTGAAGAGAAGGACAGTGAAGGGTATAAAAATGATGACAACGATGATAATTCTTGATTTGCATTTTATAACTTTGTGGCTGTTTTGTTTTTGTTTTTCAGTATTTGTTTAGTTTTTAATTACAGTAATTTACTTTTATGAATTGCAGAAATTTTGTGAAAANACTGTACAAATTAGTTAAGTAAACAATATTTTTATTATTATACAATATTTTTGATAAGCAGTTTACAATTTTTGACTGTGGATGTAATCTGAAAAGATTAAATAAACGTGTTCATTATTTTTCAATTACTTTTTATTTTCTGATCATGAATTTTAAATCTTTGTAAAATTTAACAACTCCAAAAAATATTAATGTGTTTAATCCTCTACGTTAAAAACAATTTTTATTTTATATCCTTGGAAGTATGGCATTATTTTAATTTTTTCGTAATATATTAATAATTCTTAGTGTTTTCTAGAAATGTGTAAAATTTGAGTTTACAGCATTGATAATTGCTTAAAAATTAAGGCCTAACGTTTTGTCTTTTTACTACTTTTTGCTTTGCACTAAATCATAAAAATTATGAAAAGGTATAAAAAAATATAAGTAGCAACAGTAATTATGTTTATTTCGTATATAAACTGCCATACATTCACAAAATAGTTTAAAAACTTGTTATTTGTTTTGTAATTACATACAGATTGTTTTAAAATAAGTTGCAATAAACAACAAAGTTTCTCCTTAACTTTACAACTACTTTTGCAAATTTAATGTCCTAAAAACAATTTCTTAAAGTACTGTTTCGAAAATCCCATTTTAGCTAGAAAATTACAATTAAAAACAAAGAGTTTTTATAAGTCAGAACAAGCTGCCTAAATTTTTGATTTTCCCAAAATTTTTTAAAACTACATCTATAGTAAAGTACAAACACGATATATGCGAGACAATTTTAAAAACAAGACATTTACAATAAAAACCTTACTATTGCATTGTAATTAATTTTTTGGACCATTTTTAAAGCATTAGAATTAAATGTACGTTACATAATCTGTGTATTATGGTATGGTCTTTAAATTGAGAGATCATAATTGAACTTAGTAGATAATTACCATTGGCGAAACTATACTATCAAGTAAAAATCGATGGCTAACAAATAATAAATAGCACTTTATATTATTTTATATATGGAGACATAATTGACGTATATCTACTTTCAAAATTAAATTTGCAACGTTTTCTAGTCTTATCATTAAGAGCACTTAAATATGGACATAAACTTTATATTTAATACGTTAGTGCAATCGATTTATAGTTATTGTAACATCATTTTACGCGTGTAAATTCTTTATATTTTCACTGCAAAAGTAGTAACTATGTAGGTATTAAAAAATGCACTATATGAAATACTGAGAAAACGCCTTTAAAGTAAATGCTACAAAAAAGGCAAAAAAATTAGAAGCAAAGCAAAGATAGAAATACATTCGCCTTATTAACTTGTTACAGTAAGTGTACAGTTAAAAAATTACTCATTCTTAAGTATAAGAATTCCTCCATTTAACATTGCATTTGCCATAGTAAAAATAAGTTGTTTGTACAATTAATTTTGCAACATAAATGTGTATTTAAGACAAAATCTTAAGGCTGCTTAAATCAGAGATTTAAAAATAGTTATGATCAGTTTATGATGGTTGGCATTAATTACATAATACCATTTATAGGTAATTAAAAAATTTAGAAACAAAAAAATATGCAGCGACAAAAGCCTGTCTTGAATAATTTAAGAAAAATCGAAGAATCGAGGCGACTTTAATATTTACAATTAGGCACTCAAAATTATCTGTTATCCTCTTATTGAAATTATAAGGAAAATAAAATAATAACAGAATAGAAAGTTAATGGTAATTGTCTAGATGTAGGTACATGGTCAGAGGGAGTGGAAAGATTAATTAGGTTGAAGAGGATTGGGATGAACCTGTAGAATACTAAAAAATAGGGGGAGATACATGATTAAGTCAGGGGAATGGAAAAAGGGTTGGCATTATACTGTACAACACCCCGATTCTATAATTTTACCAATATTCGATTTATAGACAATTACCAAGTTTTTGTATTTCACAACAGGACGGCTAAAGTGAAATTTGACCATTCAATTAACATTTATCACATAAAATTGCACAGGCAACAAATTAAAACAACATTTTCAAACTTTTCAAAAGATGCACAATGTTGTATAAACATTATTTAAAATTAGTTACGTATGGTTTATACTGTTAAAATCACAAGTTAAACATGATTACATCTTTTTTGACTAGCAGAACATGTGCTTCTTCTAAAAGAACTTAATTTAATGTAGACTAAATTAGCTGCCAGTTACATTTTGAACTACGACATTACCATACAAAATTTTAAATTAGTTGCCTGCTTATATAAAATTAGTAAAGCAATTATATATACAAAAACTATTGCGTAATATAAACAAAATTACATAAAATACTAATAAAACCATATGTACAAAACTCACATACACTCACAACATTTTATATATTTTTCTGTAGACATGCTGTTACAAACATTTAAGATTGACCTTTTTCTCAAAAATATATATTGATTATTTATTAATAAACAACTATGAAAACCGACTTAAAAAAAACATGCTTAAGGGACTAGGGTCGATAAGAGTATGAAAATGGTCCTCATAACAGGATGTGTAATAGGCTCCCTAAAAAATGTTTTTTTTTATAATTTTATACTTATTCTATTAATTCATAAATTGAATAAATTACATACAATTGTGTTTGACCAATGGAGTAATCCCAAATTGTTGTGAATGTAAGTATAAAGGACAATAAAAAAAATTACAAAAATTTATTAGCGTCTGTTAATGGGTGCCATTTTTATACTATTATCGATCCCAGTACTTTCATTAAAAAAATATTATGACATTAAATTAATAGTTTTTGACTGAAAAAAAAAAATGTACAAAGTAAATCAATAATTTTGAAAAATTGAACAAATTAGAAGTAGATGGAATGTTTCACCTCTTAACTGTATGAAAATGTAATACATGTGTAAAATTCAATACACATTTCAATCGTTTTTGTTTTCCATATTGAAATTATTAATTGTAAATTACAATAAATCTCTAATAGCGATTCATGATTATTTACTTATTATTAAACATTTTATTTGCAACTGAAGATAATTTTCATGCTCTCCAAATATCAAGTGACAATTTAATAGTTTACTTTAACAGCAGAGCATAAGTGCTGTCTTCCTTTAAAGGCTATTCTCATGTTCAAACTGACCATGTTTGCATGACAATGATCTTTTAAGATTAAAACGATTTAAACCAGTTAAAAGAAAAAACAAACCAAAATCAGAAACAGCGTTATAACGTACATATATTACTTTGTACCTAAGATTGATAGCCTTTATTAGTATCTTAGAGAGTGTGGTAGTTTCTTTCTGTGCGAGCTTTATAGAATTTGAAAGCTACAAAACCTATGGCCATAAGACCAGAAGCAAGAACAATGCCCCCAATGAAACTAGGGCCATCAAAATGTCGACCATGTTGAGGAGTTGAAGTGGTAACTGGTACCTCACTGGTGTGTGGTACTTCTGTAGTGGGTGGTACTTCAGTAGTAACTGGTGGTTTATTGGTGGTTACAACCTGAGTTGTTCCAGCAGTAACTGGTGTATCTGTAGTGTGTGGTACGTCTGAAGTGTGTGGTTCAGGTGGTTTATTGGTAGTTACAGCCTGAGTTGTTCCAGGAGTTGTGTTAATAGATGCTGGAGCCAATGTAACAGTTACATTTTCAGAATCAGGAGTTGGAACAATAGTTGTTGAATTAGTTACAAATTTTGTAGAAGTTTTGCTTGTTGTTGATATTAACGTAACATTTGTGACAAGCTTTTTGCCTAGGAACATACACAACGTATAAGACATTTAAAACATCACATAAGCAAGAACATACTATGCAGCAACCACCATTAAAGCAACATATACTATTTATTAAACATTAAGCTATATTTTTCAAGAGGAAAACAGTAAATTTGTAAACCAAAGTTCATTTAAGAATTAATGAAGGCATTAAAGCAACTGCATCACCACGCAACTTTAAAGACAAAAAGATAAGTCTAACACAATAACTAGCAGCCAGAAAGTATTTAAATAATACATATTCATAAACTTACTCGTGGGAACTTCTGTAGTTACATTTGCGATTGTGACCTCTGTCGAAATTGTGGTTGTTACATTTTCATCACCTAAGTAAGATAAAACAAATTAAAATGATACATATTAACAATTGCTGCAGCAGTTTACCATTTGAAACCACACAAGTTCCAAGTAGAGTACTAATAAAGACAAAACCAATAAAGGTGTTCATTTTAATTTTTTTCTGTAAATTAATGTATCACAATATCAATAACAATAACACTTGTATTGATAAATTTAACAATCACAAAACGAAATTATATACAAATCACCAGGAAAATCCGTCTATTTTATAGGTTTTTTTCTAAAATATAATATATTCTTTTTTAGCAGCTGTTCGATGACAATGACAGTGAACTGACAGTCTATGGACTGCTCTGGAAGATCTCTTCGTATCAAAGAGCTGAAATTATAGCTGAAAACTTATCTATAATTAAAAAAACTACATTTATAGAAAACATCACAACACAAAATCTGAGAAAATACAAAAAGACAGAAAGAGTATATATTTTACTTAGCTAATGTTAATTAATTTTAAATTTTTATTTTTGATCAGAATATTTGAATTCTGTTGCTCTCTTCAATAGATTAATGAATTAAAACAGAAAAGAATTTTGTAAGTTATGTCAGAGTTATGTGTATTTTAGTTGCTTATCCTGACTGTCAACCTTCTGGGTTCTGTCCACTCTCTTATCAATGGTTCTGTCATTCGAAAAATGGATGTCTGATGTATATTTATTAAATTTATTTATTTTAAAAATTTAAAAAAATATTCTGTACTATTATTAAGTAAGTGTAAGTGTATTTATAGCTATTAAAATGACCTCCACAGATGAACGAGCAGTTTATGCAAAATTGGAAGCAATAAAAGAAATACGGTAGTATTATTTTGTAAATCTTGTATGCAAGAAAATCGATATTGTATTTTTACAGTACAAAAACAATTCAACTGGAAAAGTTAAAAACTAAGATACTTTTAGAAATAGAAAACTTAGAACAGGAAGAAAAATGCTTAACAGAATACAAACAAGAGATGGACATGTTGTTGCAAGAAAAGATGTCTCATGTGGAGGAACTGAGACAAATACATGCAGATATAAATGCTGTAAGTTTTCACATTTCTTTGTTGTTAGCAAAAGTGTATTATATCTATTTTATTCAGATGGAAGGAGTAATAAAACATGCAGAAGAAAGCCGTAGCAGGTCATTGGATACTGCTTCTCGAATACATGAAGAATATATGCCTCTAAAAGCAGATGTGGACCGTTTAAGAAGGGAATGCTTGGGACTTGAGAGACTTCCAGAGTTACACGAAGAAGAAGGCACATTAATCACTGCTGAGTGAGTAATATCATTAACCAGCCAAATGTATACTATTTAATGTATTTTGTTAGACGGTTTGCGCAATTTTTCGCACCTAACAAGACCAGTACTCAGTCATTTGTGAAGGGTAATGACTGGACTCGACCTTTAACAACAAATGACAGTCCCATGAGCTCATTATCATCTGCTCTTCCTCCTACATTTTTAACGCCACCCAATCCACTAAGACTGGTATCGAACAAGCAGGATACAGGAAGACCTGGAAGTCTGTCACAGCCTGGACCTCCCACTCCTACCTTCAGGTCGGATTTTGTCAACTTGAGGTGCTTTTGTTTTAATTTTGTATCTACATTTTTTCTAACTTAACATAGGAAAGTAATTATTGTTAATGTATTTAACAAATATTTGACCAATAGAATTTGCTTTGCCTTATTACTGAGAGCTCAATGTTTTATAGACAACAACCGCCACCCATGAAATCATGTCTCAGTTGTCATCAGCAGATTCACCGAAACGCACCAATTTGTCCTTTGTGTAAAGCAAAGTCCAGGTCAAGGAATCCAAAAAAGCCAAAAAAGAAGGACCACTAATTTTTTCAAATTACATAAAACAATTTAAAGTTGTTTGTAGCTTATTCCAGTGACTGACTGTTGTAATGTTTAATAAGTAATATTGTAGGAATTATACAATATATTTTATTTAGATTATAGGAAGTACTTTTAATGCATATAATAAAATCGTAGTACTTATTTAAAGACATTTTTTATGATTTATAATTCACATTATCGTGTGTTTCTGTTAATAAATTAATCAGGAGAATATTGCTGTTTTTTTTTATATTATAAAGACGTTTACTTTATCAATAATATATTGAATTTATTTAAAAATTAATTACAAATGTTTATCCACTAAACAGCAGCATTGTAATTATAGGAGAAACAAAATTAGAAAAAATTTGTACAGGTGACGTTTTACAATTCAAAATTAAGCAAGCATTAGAAGAAACATTTTTTGTAGGATTTAAAAATTCAATTCCAAGTAATAGCAATAACAAAATGCAGATTTTATAGAGTGGTCCATTAGTGCGTTATTTAATTTGAAAATAAACAATTACTAAAAGTTAGTTCTATTCTTTGTATACACAATTATGAAATCAACAACTTTTATCTTGCCTAGTTTTCCAAATATAAACATTTTCAAAAGTCCTACAAATGTTATTCCTATNTCAAAGCTCAAAAGATTAATAAATACTTTTCATCTCCCAATAATTAGACAAAGCTTGGGCTTGGGGCACCCTGGTCCACCATTAAAAAAGGCAGTTATTTCAATATTACAGATTTTCTCTCCCATTTTATTTACACAAACGTATTTTAGATGTACAAATTATTTATTCTAATTTATTTCCTTCACCTTAACATCCAATTGATATCAAAGCTATAGCGTAAATGCAACAAGGAAAACGAATTTCCATTTGTAACTGAATACATTGCATTAAACCACAAGCAGGCTTTGAAATGGAAATAGAAATTTCCTGGGCCGCTGGTCGGGATCGCTATATAGAAATGGTATATTTGAGTTTCTTTCGCCGACACGAACGGAAAATGAATTTATCGTACTTTACTACTAAGCTAAGCCATTACGCAGTCTATAAACAACATAAAATACTACTTGCTCGCGTTCCTAAACACAATTTTATTTTAACAAACTGTAGCTGTAGTTTTATATTATGTACATAAACAAAATGTATGTGTAGGTACATATGTATGTGTACCATTCCCATCTACGAGAATTTTATAGAAAAATATGCACATTCACTTAATAGCGATTCTTGAAGATCTCTTAATAAATAATAACAAAGAATTAATCTACATCGTTAACTAGATATTTTCGAACAACAATCTAACGTAGGTCTACTTCTACCCCTCTTAACTCCTAACTATCCCTTCATGTCTCAGAAGGCGTCTTATCAACCCATCTCTTCTGATTCTTATTGACATCCATAACGTCTTCTGTTCTCCTACTTTTTCCAATCCCTCCAATTTTTAATAATAAAATAAAAACACTCGTTTATTTCATAATTATAGTGGTTATAATAAATTATTTGTAAACTCCAAGTGTTTTTATTTTATTATTTT